GTTCCAAATAAGAGCCAGGTGTGTGAGCACGTACTCAATGCCTGACACAGTGCTAAGTCATTATATCTGTCATTGCTATTGATGCTCACAGACAGGGAGGTATTGCTATAAACTCAGCTTTACGGGCTAAGAAGCTATGGCCCAGAGAGGTTAAGTCACTTGCCTAAGGTCACACAACTGTGAAGAGTAGACCCAACACTAATCCAGACCACTTTATTCCACCACCCCCAGGCTTATCCACTCCTGCAGCATGAGGACTATAAGCAGGACCTCTGACCTCCCTGTCCATGTAGCTACTCCCAGCCCAGGTCCATTAATCCTGAACGTGATCCTGACTATGTGTACCCCACTCAGCTCTTCCACCGAGAAGCCATTAGATCCATCACTTTGGTCCGGTCTTGCCTCTCCCACAGACCTGTGATTTCCTTTTGCCACTTAGTTCTGCACCCTCCCCTTCTCCCAACCCTGAACCAAGTCAGGATGGTGGTTCCTTCCTTTTCAGCCTCCGCTCAAGTGTCACCTGTTAGGGAGACACCCCTCCCTGAGTGTCCATGAGTGCCCCCTCTTCTCGTCTTTTGTGGATTGTAATAATAAGTCTGTGTGATTATGTATTGTTCCCTCTCCCTGTCCCTGGCCGGGATGGTGCTTGGCACAGAATAAAAACCCTGCCAGAAGTTGTTGAATAAAGAACAAATAAATTAATGAACTAAAATATGAAGAAATACCTTAGTTCTTCAATACATTTCTGCCAAAATCTCTCACAGCTTACATTTGTCCAAATGATTTTGTTAAACCTACATAATCCAGAAACTCACCTGATCCAGGAGTCTGGTAATTAGGAGTTTGCCCTTCCAAGTCTTTATGCATTACAGGTCTATATTTATGTAGCACCTATATAGGATCCCCTTTGTGGTAAAGATGATTTAACACTATTTTGTATAATATGTATATTCTATATGTTCTGTACATTATCTACATATTATTATATATTACATACATATATCATATATAATACAATATGCTGAAATATATATATTTCTGCAATTTTCTGTTTTTATTTAATCACATACAATGACAATATTCCCTCACTACCACATGTAGATCTCTCATTTTGCTGAAAACTACACGTTATTTTTCAAATACAAGTAAGTACAGTATTCCCTCTTGGAGGAATATTCAAATAGTCTAGGAATGGCAAGTAGATACATCAGATCGCAAGCACCTCTGCCCCCCATTCCCATCCCTCATAGTCCAGAAGGGTTTTGTATTCAAGATGAGGATGGGTGAGAGCATATTCATTATTTATGAATGGACAGAAGCAGCACAGGAGTGGGCTTAGGGGGGCAGGCTGATGTGGAGGACAGAAGTATAGGGTGGAACTGAATGGGAACAAGAGAAGGGCAACCACAAGGAAAAGCTGGAAACTAGGGCTGTGTTAAGCAATAATAGCCATGAGGGAGCAGAAAGTGAGGAGCAGAGCCAGAGACCACCCCAGTCAGGGACAGGAAGTCAGTAAAGAAGACAGCTCTTTGGAGACAAGAGAAACATAATGGGAGAACAGCCTGGCTGATGTTGGCCCCATGGTTTCCTCTCTCCCACTAAAGAAGGTGGAAATCTGTCTCCCGATGATTTTGCCACCTGGTTTTCCAACACCCAGGAGCATTTGTCTGTTTCCGAGTGCGACTTGTTTATCTCCATTCTGAAGTCATAAAGTTCAAAACAAACTTCCAGACAAAGGGACCCTCTGCTCTGCAGCTCTTAGCCCCATTCTCTCGCGAGGGCAGAGCCAAGATTCTGCTTTCCTAATGATTTTCACAGCCGATTCCACCACGGATCCCACCCCCAGCTTCCTCCTGCGTCTTTCCCGGCTACCTCCGATTGTTATAGACATCCTCACGGGTATAGCTTTTCAAGCTTCTTTTAACCCTTTTCTTCCTATCCTAATAACTGTGCAAGAAAGATAAGATTGTTTCCCCAAAAGAAGCTAACTGGGGCTTTTAGAGTGGACCAATGGTCTCTCCAAAGAGCTGAATTCACCAGCATCCAGATGTGTGTAGTGTTAAAAAAGCAACCCAAACAAGAAGAACTGGTCAGTTAAGCACCCCCATAGCTGGAAAGTTCTGAGGCATATTTTCATGGCCATCACTCTATGGAAAAGTAGAAAATGACAGGATTCTCTCTGAAGGTAGGTATAAGTGAGGGATGATATTAATAATTAACTTACATCATCTTCATTTGCCTAGCATTATGCTGAATATTTCATACAACAATCTGTGAGGTAAGTACCATATTATAACCATTTTATAGATGAGTAATTTGAGGCTCATAGAAGCTGAGTCTCTTGTTAGTGAGTGATAGAGCTGAGATTGAAAACCAGCCAGCCTGGAATTTGCTCCTGGGCTCTTAACCAAGCCACCATCTGGTTTACCTAATTCATACTTGGCTTAGTTCATTACTGTCCTCCTCACTCCTACCAAAAGATTTATGCTCCAGGAGGCCAGGGTCTTGTCTGTCTTCTTCTATCCCCAGCTGCCAGCACAAGGGCTAGCACAAAGTAGACAATCAATGACTGCTGAGTGAATAAATGAATGAATAATATGCTTTTATTTGACTTTGTACATCTGAAAAGTTCTGAACATTGAGGTTTTGGGTGATAACTAAATATGTTCACTGAACAGTCTTTTTAATTTTACGTGTTAAGTTTAGCTGAACTTTCTCCCAGGGTGAAAAATGATGTCTTTCCAAGCCTTAGAACCAAGCAAGTTACAGGTAACTTGGGAATTGAATAAAGAATCACAATCTGAAAATGTAGGGGGTCTCTAAAGAGATCTTTGGGAATCACTTATGTATTTATTAAACACTACTATATTTTCAGAGTTATCCTAGGTCTTTTCAGTGGCAGACAGTTATGTGAATCACATGGGATGCTTGTTTAACATGCAGAGCAGATCTCCAGGTGATTGTTATACAAACAAAATTGTGAGGAGGTTAGGGTTATTCCCCCTCCATTGGCAACAATCCCTAGTAAGCTATCACAAGGTGTTTCAAATCCATTGACCCTTCAGTTTATCTAAAGATCCTTTTGTTGTTATCACATCTCGGGGAGGGGTGGGGGCATGAGCCATATCACTTTTTCACCTGTGTGAGGTAGAAACATTGTATTTATCTAGGAGGTGTTCTTTCCCCAGTTGTAAGAGGGTGGCTACTACCTTTATCCTGGCATCTCAGCATCTGGTACACTGACTCTCTCTCACAAAGGATCAACCTAGAAATGAGAAGATCTGGTACAGTTCAGCCACCAGATGCTGTGTGTCTGGGGGCAGGTGGTGTAGCCTCTCTGACCCACTGTTTCTTGTCTACAAGTTGGGGGGTGTGAGTAGTTCACAGCTTCTTTATTCTACCCATACTCTAACCAGAGACATTCTATAGATAGGGATTATGTGTCCTTTCAGTCTTATTTTTCTATGCTCAAAAGAAATGGTTCTATGACCATGAACTAGGTTCAGAAAGGCAACTGGGTAAGTAGTCAGAGGAATGTCAAGAATCTCATCCCACAGAATTAACCATGACCAGGTGAATCAGAATATAGGTTTCTTTAATACACACCTGCAAAAACTACAGGGGAAAAAAAACTTTTGGCCATGCAAAACTGGGTGAACCAGTGTGGTTGAGTCACTGGGGTTACATACCTGATATGCCCTCACACAGGGAAGTGTTTCAAAGTAGGTGCTCTGGACCTTCCATTCTGAGGGCTGAGTGACACTAGATCCAGAAAAGACTGGGGTAGTCTGTCATTGACACCCACTATGTGTCGGGTGCTTTTCCGGGTGTTGAGGACGTGGTAGTGAACCCTACTGACAAGACCCATACTTCGATGGAACTAACATTCTCATGGAGGAGAGGGATAATATATTTAAAAAAAAAATTGTAACAAATGAGTCAGTGATAAAGGGTATGAAGGGGGAGGTAGGAACAGGGTTAGGAGACTGGAGGAACCCCTAATCTCTTATTCACTTGTCCAGCCCCCACTTCTACACTTGAGGAACACCAGGCAAAGCCAGCAGCGACCTGCTCAAAGACCAGACTACACCCAGCTGGTTAGAAGCAGAGTTGGAAGTGAACACTGTCTTCCTTCAAAGCCAATCCTTTCTTCACAGCCCCTCTCATGGAGGGTCTATTTTCCTGTCATTGTCTAGTTCTTAGACCCGAATATCGAGGGAGGGAAGCAGCGCTCAAGCACCCCCTCATCCGCCCCAGGACACAGGGTCCCGTCCATTCCCCCTCACAGCCCAGGACCCAGAGAGAAGCCCGGGCGGGGCGGGGCCTGGACGCGCGCCGGCGCGTCCAGCAGGTGGCAGCAGCGAGCAGCCGCGCCCCCCGCGCAGCCACCCGGCGAGCCCGCATCATGGATGTCGAGCTCTCCTATTTCGCTTTGCTCGCCTTGGAATTCGAGACCCCAGACGAGGACCAGGATTCATGAACTGGTCTCAGGGGCCCGGGCAGGGGCCTCTGGCTCCCGACGCTGGCCGAGAGGTGGGTCCCGGGGCGGGTCGTTGCTCGTGGACGCCGGGCGGGGACGCGCTGCCCAGCGGAGCCCGGCGCCCAGCGCGCTGCCCCCGCCCTGCCTCCCTGTGGTCCACACCCCCTTTGGGCTCCCGAGCCGCTGGGCTGCAATAGTCGGGGTGCGCGCCAACAGGCGCTGCCGGCCCCGCTTCTGCCTGGCAGTCAGGTCCCAGGAGCGGACGGACCCAGGCGCCCGCGTCCTCTCTGCCGCCTTCTCCTCCCTGCTCTCACCTGAGCTATTAGCCCACTCGCCTTCAAGGCCAGAGGCTACAGCCCAGACTGAGAGGGACAGCAGTAAGCGAGAGGGCACCTGAGGATACAGACCTAACACTGGACTATTTCACCCCCAGGTGATGAGTGAAGTCGAAAGATCCGAAGATTTAAAAAGCATCTGGAGTCTCCGTATTGAATGAAAGACCCAGTGCAAAGGCATCATCATGAACACGAGCCGTAAGTGGGTCCTCCTCTTCTTTGCCATGGGAACAGGGTGGGGGCGGGAGGTGCAGGAGCCGGCGCCGGGGTTGCCTGGAAGGAGGAAGGAAGCCTGGCACCGGGTGGACACATGCCCCCAGACTCCTCCTCGGTTTTTCTGTGCTCCCTCCCGGGCACCGCGATATGGCTCCGGGTTTTCATGATAATTTGCTAATGTTTTATTGGCCGCGCCACTTGCCTCCGTGGGGAAGGCTGCTTGTCTCCTTCTAGCAATGCCTGGGAAGGCCTGGGAAGCCGAAGTGTGGCCATTGTCTGACTGAGGGGGCTCAGAGGAGACCTCCCGGCACGCAGCTGGAAAGCTGAGGAAGGCCCTGCTGGTCTTGGAGCCGGGAAGAGGCAGGGAGGCTGGCCTCGGGCTGGTGGGTGGGTGGGTGTGGGCAGGCTGTGGGATAGGAAGGAGCAGTTTGATAAACAAATTGTCAGGAAGCCACCTTTGGGTCTGGAGATTGTGAAATATCCCGCTCTAGTGTGCAGGCAGCCCCATGGGCCCAGGGCTGATATTTTTCACATACCTGAAGGCTGCATTTAGCCTTTCTGAGAACAAGAGAAAAGAGACAAGCCCTTTGGCCAATGTCTCTAAAATGCCAGAAGCAGTAACTGCTCTGCAGAGGCAGGACCAGACATTTTACTGCTGGGCTGAGCCTCAGCTGCTGAGAAATTCAGTGAGAGATACAAGGAGGCCTAAGCTCTTTTCTCTTCAACACAGTCCCTTTGACCATGGGCGCCCACTGGGGGAGGTGGCGTGGGCGCCACCCTGAAAGAGAGATCTGGATTCAAGTCCCCCGCCTGGCCAGCTTCACTTGTTTGGGTTGTTTAACAGCATGTGGGGTTGTTGAACCAGAGAACGCCTAGGAACATTCACTTCCCTGGGTCTTTGACTTGGCCCTCTCCTCTCTGGATCTCCGATTGCTCATCTGTAAAATGAGAAGGGTTGAATTTGAGGTTCTTCTAATCTAAGAATCTGCAAGTTTCTTCTAAAAAAGCTACAGCTGAGAAGCAAGGTCATAAAAATCAGTACCTTCTGAGGCTGTGTTTGAGACCAAACCAGGTTTCCTCAACCTCCTTCCATTTCAAGCTGTTGGCATGGAGGGGAGGAAAACAAAGCCAGGGAGATAGGAATGAAATATATTTATTTACTATATATTTGTGTGAGTCATCTCTCTGCCGTCTTCCTTTGTGTATTGCATAGCTGTGCTAAGTAGGCAAGTGTAGCTGGACTCCCTCTGCCTTTTACAGCCCAAGAATTTCGCCTCTTGATTTTGATGGTCTGGAACAGGGCTAAGGCTTCACACTAGGCTCAGGAAAAGAGCAAAATTAGGTAAACCCAATCACCTAGTGGGCCACAAATTTGCATCCATCTGTGCTCTCAGACAAGTAAGAATGTGAAGTGCCTGTCACTTCTCACTATCTCTAGGCGGGGAAAAATGTATTTATGGGAGTCCTTTCTCACTAAACGACAGAAGAGAAAGATGGCTCATTTATTTTCCAAGGAACTAAGAAATAAGGTAACAAGCAACAGACCCTGATTTTTTCTCTCTTTAGAATCATAAACTCTTGTCCCATTAGTAACACTGGGTATTCCTTAAAGAAGGAAATAGATTTTACTTTAAAAAAAAAGTAGTAGAATTGAATACTACAGAAGAGAAGCACTAACAAAAATCCCTTTCCAGCCTCATATACTTTTTCTAAGTGGGAAGAGTATGTTTATTTTCAGGAGCAGTGGAAAATAAACAGAGTGACTCAGGCAGTCTGGGGGTCCCTCAGGTTCCCTATGAGGAAGCAATTCTCTAAAGGGCTACCTGGGGGCAAACTGTGGAGAAACTCCTGCTCAGGGCTTTGGGGCTGGGCTCCCTCATCACTGAGGCTCCTTCCCACCCCGGGAGTCTTCAGAAGGAAAGAGTAGAAATCAGACCTTGCAGGAGTGATGGTGTGATAGGGTCATAGGTCACAGGGACAGAGCATTGGCATGTGGTCCTTGGGGTGACCTGACGTAAGCAAAAATGCTCACCCCATTACCATGTGAGATTCTTAACTCATCCTCATGCCTGAAATTGAACCTAAGAGAAACTGTCACTCAGTTTTTTTCTTTTACTTTCACTTCCTGAATCCTCACTCTACCAGCCACTGGGCTACGCATTTCACCTGCACCATCTCCCCAAACTCTCACATCCACCCTGTCAAATGGGCATTATTGCTCCAGTTTTGCAGTCTTCTTCAAGTCATGTGGCTAGTTTTTGGGTTGTGAAAGGTACTTGGATGCATAACATTATCCACAGTGTGCACCATTCCTAATCAACTGTTCAAATGTCACCATTGAGATGGGGGCAAATCATGAGCTGCTTATTATATTGCTGGTCACTTTATCTGGAGAAGAGGTGCGTGGACTGTAGGCTTGGGATAGCGTGTGAGAGTTGATGTAGCTCGAGCCCTGCCATCAGGTGGGCCCAGGTTCTAGTTGTGTTTTCACTTACTGGCCGTGTGGTCCTCAGGATGGTTGTCTCATCTGCAAAATGGGAATGATGGGACCTTCCTCCACGTGGAATGGAGATGAGTGTTCATGTGTCACGAACAATTCAGAGAGCAGTGCCCGCGACACAGCTGGCCTGGTGTCAGCGATGAGGGTCAGGCCGCCATTGTCCCTGCGGTAGTCACTGTGGTTCTTAGCATTGTTGACTTCATGACATCAGCGAGCAAGTCACTCAACCTCTCAGATGCCACGCCTTTGTCATAAATTCAAAGGAATGTAGAAATGTGATCTTGAGGACAAGACAGGAGGAGAGGTTGCTTTGTAAAATATGTAAATTTTTTATTAATAAGAAACACATGTCTCAGGTGGTTTAAAAAAGAAAAAACAGGGGAGTGCCCAGTCAGTGACCCCTCAGAGTACATTTTGGTTTAGTTTCATCAGAATTCTTCTGAAATCTAGCTGAGCTTTAGCACACTGCAAAACAGGGTTGTGAGAGAAAGCGATAGTTCTGGAGATGTAGAGTAAGGTGGTGGTCCAGGCCTGGGAGAATGCAACAGGCAGGCTCCAGCCACCTGAACCAATAAGGGAAGGGGAAAGAGGGCTCCTTGCAGAGAGAACAAAACACCAAAGGCATGAGCAGGACACCCAGGGCTAGTACAGAGATCGTGGCCCCCACGGGCCAAGGACTTCAGGGAAAACAACCATCATTTCTACCGTGGCCTCTGTGAGGTGGATCTACCATCCAGCCTTTCTGTCCCCCTGCACACACCCAACCTAATTGCAGGGATCTGTCATTTGACTCCTGATGTGCTGAGGCAGCCTCCTAACTGGTCTCCCTTCACCCACTCCAGCCCACATCAAAGCCCCATCCATTCTCTGCATCACCCTCTGCTTAAAATACACATCCCATTGCTCTTAAGATGCGAGAGGAGACCCCTCAGCAAGGCCTGCAGAGTCCCCCGTGGCCCAGCCTTGCTCACAGCCCCAGCTCATCCACACATGCATCCACTTTCTCCGCAGCCCTGTCATGTCCACCTCCTCTCATTCCCCTCCTGGAAGCTCCCTGTCTCCAGCACAAGCCCCTCTGCCCACCACCCCTCTTCTCCAGGCTGGCCTTCTCACCCCCACCCTGACCCCAGTCCAGCTAACACTCCCCCGATGATGTTCTCCTCCTGTTCCTTCAGAACCTTGTCTCTGGTATCACACACTCACCCCTGTGGTCACATTTTCCTGACCTTACAGAGCAAGGAAAGTCAGACCTCCTGCTCTCACATAATCCCCAGAGCCCCAAAGGCCTCACCACCTAATGTGCCTTTTCTTAGGCAACAATGAATCTTTGGTTATTTCCTGTCAGTGTCTCCCATTCTGTCTTGGCCCCAGGAGTTCCCAAGACCTGGGGATCAAAGCCAGGGGAGACTGAGCTGACCCCAGAGCATCAGGTGCCCTGCGCACCAGAGTCAGTTCTGTGTCGTAAAATGCTGTGCTTCGCTTGGGTTGGAACTCCCAGAGCTCCTGAAGGCCGTGGCTTTCCTAGGCACAGAGCCAGCACTGGCTCATCCTCAAAGTTGGAGAGTCACCTGCATACCACATAAAATGGTACCAAGAGCCATTCTCCCTTCACTGCCTTCCCCAATGATCTCTTCCTTGGCTGTTATTATGGATTGGCATGCCAACAAGCTACTTTTTTGGAGTAGGCTTTGTTTTGTTGAGGGCCTCCCAGGTGGCACTGGTGGTATAGAATCTGCCTGTCAATGCAGGAGATATGAGAGACGTGGTTCGACAATCCCTGGGTTGGGAAGATCCCCAGGAGTAGAAAATGGCACCCCACACCAGTATTCTTGCCTAAGAAATTCCATGGACAGAGGAGACTGGTGGGCTACAGGCCATGGGGTTGCTAAGAGTCAGACATATCTGAGCATTGTTTTGTTGAAGAGAGCAATAAAGAGTCATAGAAACCTCACAAAGCTGTCATGGGATAAGCAGGCAGCACATGGGGACGGTAAAATCCTAAGCTTTGGGGTATGGATTTCTGAGTTTAAATTCAACATCTATCATGTATTCTCTTTATGATCTTGTACAAGATAGATCATGTCTCAACCTGAATTTTTGTGATTATAAAACGTTGGCAGTAGTGCAAGATGGGTTGTTGTGAAGATGAAGTGAAATAGCATGAGAAACTCCTTGGTGGTAGGTCTCAGGGAATGAAGTTGAACCTGAAGTTGCATTGGCCATTGAGTAAAGCAAAGTTTTGAAATGATGGTGTCATAAGAGCCAAACCTTCTGGTTCAAAACGAGTCTGTTTTGCTGGTATTGTGGCCATCACTGGGTTCAGCACACAGGAGAGCCATGGCTTTCAGGAAACCTTCAGGAAAATGATTAACCTGGTATTGTATATGGCATGAGTCTAAAAGGGCAAGACAAGAAGTTAGGATCCTAGATGAGAGATAATTAACCTAGTTCTGAAAAGATCTGAGGGCCAGGATTTGAGAGG